TATACCTAAGAACAGAATTTCCAGGTCACATGGTAACTCCATGTTTAATTTGTTGAGGATTTGCCAAACTGTTTTCTACAACAGACGCACAGTGTTGCACTCTACCAACAAGGCACAGGTTCCATTCTCTCCAACATTTATTTCAATTTCTTCTTTTATTAAAGATGTTCTAGTAGATAGGTCACTCTGGCTTTGATTTGCATTTCCTTAAGGAATAATGACATTTAGCATCTTTTCAATACTTATCAGTCATTTGTATTTCTTCTCTGGAGAAATGTCAAAACCTTCTGTCTATTTTTTATTAAAAATCTTAATTATGAATATGTAAAATTATTTTCATTTCAGAATACTTATATTTAATTGCTGCTTTTCCTTCAACAATGACCAAATATTTGAAATATGAAAAATCTCAAAGCACTAATCACAAAAAAAGCTAAAGAAACTCAAAACATACTTGTTTTGTTTTGCTGAGTCAGGGTCTCACTTTATAGCCCTGGCCAACCTGGAACTTACTATGTAGACCAGGCTGACCTCAAACTCACAGAGATCCACCTGCCTCTGCCTCCCAAGTGCTGGGATTAAAAGTGTGTGTTAAGTTGTTATTACTTTAAAAACCCTATTCAAACTCTAACTTTGTCTTCCATCCAAATATTATCCTGGTGAAACCCACTAAGTTTGTAAGAGCAAGAGAGAGAGAGAGAGAGAGAGAGAGAGAGAGAGAGAGAGAATCTATAGGCCTATAGATATAGGCCTATAGAGATAGAGCCAGGCTTGTGTCCCCCAAATGCCCTTCGGTGTGGGTCCACCTACTGGAGCCTGGTCAACCTACTGAGAGTCTCACCATCAAACAAGTCTGACTTTCCCTCTCTCAGCAGCCTTTGGTTGCCAAGAATTCCTCAGGTAGGTTGGGGATTCTTACCCAACTCCCCATGATCATGTTGGGATTTTGTCTGATTGAGCTTACATGGGACTTGTGCATGCTGTCAGCATTGCTGTGAGTTCATAGGAGTAACTGCCCAGCCATCTGGAAAACTCTGTTTACCTGTGGTCATCACTGCCACTGGCTCTTCCAGTCTTTCTGCTCCTCTTCTGTAATGATCCCTGAGCCTTGGGAGGCAGAAGTTTGATCTAGATGTCCAATTCATGGAAAATTACTTTCCAGTCTCTTAGCGTCTGCACATTGGCAAATTATGCATCACTGTGTTAATCACCATCTGCTGCATAAGGAAGCTAATCTGGTGAGAGTTGGGAGATGCATTACTCTATGACAGTAAGTCATTAGGAATCACTTTAATTCTATATCCATTTAGCAGAATAACAGCATTAGGCTCTCCCCTATGGCCTGTGTAACCTAGTAGGTTCCTAGGCCTGATATTAATGTCAGGTATGGCTCCAGCTTATGAAGCAGACCTTAAATCCAATTAGAAAGTGATTGGTTACTTCCATAATATTTGTGCCACTATTTTATCAGTGGGCATATCTTGCCAGGTCAGTTGTTGTAACTTGCATGATTCACAGCTGGGCAAGGTTGATGAAGACTTTCTCTTGGGGTAGCGTATGTAGCACCTTCCAGCACTGTGAAAGCTAGCCAGTAGAGATGAAGCTTTGAGGTCAGTACCAGCTTGATTGCTCCTTGTTGATTTTACAATTCATGGATGTAATGTCTTCAGCAGTAGGGTCTTACCATGAAGTTCTGGTGGGTAACCAAGAGCAGGGGCAATGGCCGGTATTGTTTGATGGTCTGTGGGACCCCTGGTCAATGGCTTCTAGAGAGGAAATCCAATCCTGGCATTGGACTTTTACTTTATTAGCCTATGGTATCTAGCAGGGGTAGTGTCCCCATTATAAGGTTACCCCTCTTAATCTTTCTATACTGTATGTATTTTAAGAAACTTCTATAGTGATAGGTTTTCATGTGGCTTTTTCTAAAGGCCTTCAGTGTTAGTTATCCCTTTTGAGAAGATTTATTGTATTTTATGTGTATGAGTGTTTGCCTGCATATATGTAAGTGCACTATGTACCTGCAGTGCCCTCAGAGGCCAGAAAGGCATTGGATCCCCTGGAGCTGGAGCTGCAGATGATGAACTGCTGTGTGGATGCTGGGAACAATTCTAGGTCCTCTACAAGAGCAGCAAATGCTCTTTACTGCTGAGCCATTTCTCTAGCCCTGAGAAAACTAAAAGCTGAAGAATCACACACATACACATATAGAATCACACATGCACATGCTTACACATATAGAAAGGTGAAGCTCTGTACAAATGGAGAGGGACCTGGAGACCAAACTCCAACATCTCCCAGGAGGATCTGGGTTCTGAGGACTTTGGTGACTTCCTCTCCCCTAATTTTTTTTTTTTTCGGTCTTTTTGAGACAGGGTCTCCCTGTAGCCCCAGCTGTCCTGGAACTCACTATGTAGACCAGGCTGGCCTTGAACTCACAGAGATCTGCCTGCCTCTGCCTCCCAAGTGCTGGGATTAAAGGCATGCGCCACCACACCCAGCTTCTCCCCTAATTTTTGATTGGTCATCTTAAACAAAGAAAGGGGTTCTTGAAGGCTTACTGCTTCCATGATGAGGTGTCCAGGTCTACGTGATCTGAGCATATCAGTTAAAGGGGCTCTCCTGGAATTAAAAATAAGGCTTTCCTTCCTGTCAAAGACCAAGGAGGAGCAGGGTGTGCCCTCTTCATTACTTCTCAGTGACCCTGTCAGGGCCCTTACATGGTATAGTGAGTCTCCTGTGCCCCTCACCCACCATCATCTCCTTCCAACACTTAATTCATGACCAACATTGCCTCATCTGTTCCCCTGTCTCCTAACTGATCCGAGATTATTGTTCTAGATAGTATATCATTTCAGTTATAAATATTTCTGTAAAAATATTTCATCTTTGAGAGATGTATACCAAAAATTATTACCAATTTCATTTTTTAATATTTTATTATTTTTATTTTATGTGTATGAGTGTATCGCCTGCCATGCATATAAAAACACCTGTGTCCTGAAATGCCCATGGAGGTCAGAAGAGGGTATCAGATACCCTGGAACTGGAGTTACAGATGACTGTTAGCTGTCATGTGGGAGTTGGGAACTGAACCCAGGTCCTCTGCAAGAGCAGCTGGCTAGTGCTCTTAACTATTGAGCCATCTCTCCAGCCCCAACAGTG